CTGCCCTCTGCTGCCTGGGTCCTGAATCCAGCTGTTCCCGCGCTGGCCATCCCCTCAGGTCCTCTGCTGCTGTCCCCTGCACAGGAGGCCCACGCTTGGTCTCCTTGCTTCCCTGAGGCCCTCAGAGTCCAGCAGGACCTCCTGCTCAGCACGGGTCCTGGACTGGCGGGGGGGGGGAAGCTGGTGATGCACTGCAGGGGCCATTACCCGCCCTCCCCCCCCACAACCACCGCTCTTCCCCCTGAACGCCCATCCCCCTGCGTCCTGGAAAAATCCACGGTGAATTCTTTTAACGTGCCCTGCTTCATAACCCACATGCGCACATGCGTGCACAGGTACATGCATGCAGACATGTGTGCCCTGCTGACAGCACACACTGGTACATACATGCACACATGTACACACATGGAAACACGCACACTGCACAAAGCCCGGCTCTGCTCCTGCCGCCCTGGGCACCAGTGCTGTCATTGCATCTTTGCTCCCGGCTGCACTGTGTTCTGGAGGTCTGCCCCGGGCGGGCGTCAGACCTGCTACGGCAAAGCTGGTGAACTTGGGCCGTGCCCGGGGAGCTTACGGGAGCCCCTCAGTCACTGAGCCCCTCACATCTGTCGTGACACCCCCAGCTCCCGGGACAGGGCGTGGTCGGCAGCAGTGTGCTCACGATGTGGACAGCTGTGAGCGATGCAGGGAGGGCAACTGGGTCGTGGGCGGGGCTCGTGCTTGCCCTGGGGAGACAGGAGAGCAGCCCTGGCCTCTGCCTGGTGGCAGCCCGTCGCTGAGGGTGACGGTTTTGAGCCTCAGTTTCCCTTTTGTGGTATATGAGCCGCCAGTTTTTCCTCAGCACAGCTCTCTTGGAGAGTGCTGCAGGGGCACCGGGAAGCTGCCTGCCTTGGTGCCTGGCCCAGGACACAGTGGGCACCATCACCGCGCAGTGTGTGGCCTAACAGCCGATGGCGGTGCCGACGTCGTCGCCATCGTTCGGATGGTTTTCAGATGAGACTACAGGCGGCCTGGCCTTGGCCAGTGGCTGGGGCTAACCTCAGAGGTGATGGCCGCGGTGCAGCCGTCCCCGCCCTCCGGGAGCTTGTTGCCGCGGCTACAGCAGGAGAGGTGTAGAGACTCCGTACCTGTGTTACCACGTCAGAGCAGCTCTCAGGAACCGGGAGCGTGACGCCGTTGCTTGGTCACTTGCTCCTGACTCCCCCGTGAGCGAGAGCTTGCGTGCGTTCTGGGGCCCACGGGACCCTCTCCCCTGCACTTGGTGTCCACGTCCCTGGGGACCAGTGTTCACCCAACAGCCACGAGACCCCCTCTGCCTCCGCAGGACCGCGCTGCAGAGACCCCCGGGGATTTGGGATCTGCAGCGGCCAGCAAGCCGCGTGCAGCGGTGGCCATAGGGACATGAGGCCGCCCGGTGTTCAGCTGCTTGCTTTACAGCCGCAGAAAGGAGCCCGGGGGTGCGGGCGCCCGCCCGGTTTGGGCGGGAGGCCGGGTCTGGTGTGAGGCCGGTTCCTGCGGGTGGCCTTTGCGTCGTCCCTTCCGTCCTGAGAAGAGGGACCGGAGGGTCCACGTCCCATTGAGCGTAGCGACTGAGGCCTGGGCCTTGGCGCCTGAGTGCTGTATCCAGGGCAGCTTGCGTAGCCTGCATTTCCCTAGGAAGTGGACATGTTGCTGACGCGTCCTTGTAGAGAGAGCGTGGGAGTAAGTGAGCTCACGTTGAGAGCTTGAGTGTAGCTCACGTGGGATGCACCCTGCGAGGATCAGCCAGTTTCTGCGGTGAGGAGGTTGTTGATTTTGATGATGGTGATGATGGTGAAGGCCATTATCATGATGTCAATGATCACAATAGCGTGGGTCTCGTGCTGCCTGCTGTATGGAAGTGTTGTCTTTTCCCTGCGCTTTCCAGGATGTGAAAAGGCCAGGACCGGATGTGGCCTGGTTCATCTGCTGTTCATGTAAACCCTGCGTAGGACTGTATCCCCCCCAGACCATGTGGGGACACACGTGCTGTTCACAGATAGAACCGTTTCCAAGGGGACAGAGGTGTTCCTTTGTCCGCTAAACCTACGTAATTGATGGCGAAATATTCCACCCCCGCCTCAGCCCACAGCAGACATCACTAATCAATCACCACACCCTCCAGCCTTCCTCCCTGGACCCTGCATCTGCAGCTCCTGAGGTGGGTGAGGTCTGCAAAGGGCCGGAGTGCTGGGCCCGTGAGGACCCTGTGCTGCAGATCTCAGAGCCTTTGCTGTTTTACCGGGTGAACACAGAGCGTGCCTGAGAGCGTGGCCTCCACAGGAACAGCACCCGGCCCCTCCCGCGTCACCTTGAAGCTGTGCTTATGAACTCCTCACACAAACCCAGCCCATTCTGGGACACCAAGGGCTGGCAGATGCGTGTGATCACGTGGCCTCCGTGTGTGCAGCCCCAGGGCAGCCATTTCCGGGGAGCAGCCTGGGGCCGGCACTCGGCAGGGCTTGCTGTGGCCACACAGAGGCACCTGCGGCTCTGGGAAGGGCTGAGCGCGGCCGCGAGCCGTCCTGTGTTCTTCTAGGTGAGCCACCTCTTGATGGAATGAGAAGTAGCTTGAAGTGAGTGCATGGGAGTGTGAGCTGGAAGAGCTCTGACCCGCGCCCGCTCTCTCTGCGTTGCTCCCCCCAAATCTCCCGCCGACGCACAACACACCTCCAGTTAAACCCCTGCCACCTGCATTTATCTTTTCCATCAGCCCCTCAAGGGCAGAGTCTGTGACCTGTTTGGCATCGGCCGTAGGGACCCTGCGCCAACCTGGTGTGGAGGGCATCGGTTGGATGGAACGGGCGGAGGATGAGTCTCTGGTTCCCGGCACAGGTGAGCCTTCACCTTTGGCGTCCCGTCCCGGAGCCGCCGGCACACCCGTGGTGATGGCCACTGCTCCACCGTCCCGAGGAGCCGGGCGAGGCCTCCCAGAGCCTGGCACTCTCTGGAGTTGTACCAGGAGGAAGCTGGGGCCTGAGGGCGGAGAGGCCCCCTCGAATATATCCGCAGTCCAGCACAGTCCATCTGCAGGCCTGGATTCCGTCCCAGGCGGTCCACAGTCCTCCCAGCACAGGCCAGGCTCGCAGGCCCTGTCTGAAAGCATGAACAGGCAATGGAGAGAGCCTAGCTGTGAGTGATGGGGCGGGGGCTGTGGACACCCTTTTGCTCATCTGTGTCCCTCTCTTGCTGCCACGGCTCGTCTGAGACAGGCCCCACGCTGTGAGAGGCCAAAGCACAGCAGCCCCCTTGTGCCCAGGTGATGAGCCCCGGGCCCAGCCCCACCCTCCACCACAGCCGCTGTAACCAGGCTACTTCCCAGCATCCTGTCTCCTCTCTTGCTACCCTGGGGCCTTTGCACAGCCTGTTTCCTGGCCTTTCCTTTTTAGCGCAGCCCATGCATCTGCAGCTCACCGGGCCCCCTGGGCATGGGGCCCTCTGGAAGCCAAGTGCTGCACCAGCCTCCTGGTCTGAATTAGCCAGGCCTGTTTGGCTCATCATTGCCCAGAGGCCGGGCCACTGCATCCCCTTTAAATGCTTCAACTCATTTAACCTTAATTGCCTTGTTTTCATAGACATTGCTGAGGAAAAGGACCAAATTATAGCTTGAATTGGGTCTTACTAATCTTAATTAAAAGCTCTCGTTTGTAATCAGGACCAGGCCTCAAACCGCCCTCAGCTGGCTTGTTTAAATAACCGGGACCCTCCTGGTAATCACTGTTTAGTCTGAGCAGTGGGCGCACAGCACCCCTTCCGCGTGGACCCCGTTCAGGGGACCATTTACACAAGTGGCTTGTTCCACTCACAAGTTCCAACTGAGCCTGTTCCAAAACGCTGTAATTAAAGCTCTTGGGGAAACAACTCTTTGTTTTGGCCAAGTATATCAAATATATGACTCTTTCCTTTTTGGTGTGAAAAGGAAAAATGACAACCTCATGGCCATCAGAGATCACAAATTAGCATGTACGTAATGAATGTAAATAGTGGCTTCCTGAACTCTGTGTCCCCCCAGGGCCTGCCTGTCATCAGACTGCGGAGCCTCTATTAAAAGAATTTAACAAACTCCTAATAACACACCGCCATCCATTAGTTTTACATCAGAAAAAAAAAAAAAAAAAAATTACAGCCATTGGCCTTCCTAGGGAATAATGCCCGTGAGCTTATAATCATTCTCATCACTGTTTTTTTGTGTACTTTACTGAAACTCCAGATAAGTTCTGCTTGCCTTTTGGGAGGCCAGGGCAGGTGGGAGGAGGTGGCGGTGGGGGCAGGCTCCTGGCTGTCAAGCTGTAAAACTTGCAATTACACGTGCTGGTGGGCGCTCTCCCAAAGATGAAAGCGCTCAGGCCAGCGGACCGGCAGGCTGGAGGAAGTCGGACGTGCCGGAAAATTCTAAGTTGCTGTTCCAGCAATTAGGTCGCATAGCTCGCAACGGCCCAGCTCTGCAACAGACCAGAGCCTCTGGGCACCCATCTCAAAGGTTTTTTTGTTTGTTTGTTTGTTTGTTTTTTAAGATTTACTTATTTATTATTTGAAAGTCAGAGTTACAGGGGAAGAGAGAGAGAGGTCTTCCATCGGCTGGTTCACTCCCCAGGTGACCGCACAGCCAGGGCTGGCCAGACCAAAGCTAGGAGCCAGCGCTTCTTCCAGGTCTCCCACGTGGGTAGCAGGGGCCCAAGCACTTGGGCCGTCTTCTGCTGCTTTTCCAGGCCATTAGCAGGGAGCTGGATCAGAACTGGAATGGCCAGAACAGGAACAGTTGCCCATATGGGACGCCAGCGTTGCAGGCAGCGGCTTTATCCACTAGGCCACGGCGCCGGCCCCGGGTTGGTTTTTAGAAGGAAAAATAAAACTCTCCTGCTCTTGTCCTGCAAGTGTAGGAGGCGAGCTCGCCTCTCTGAACCTCTGGCCTGGGTGCAGTTGTTCCACGGACGTTCACTGAGCACCTGCCCCGTGCCAAGCCTGGTGCTAGGGCCAAGATGTGCGCCCTGCCCCGAGAGACCTCGCTGGCCCGCGGAGAGACGATGGGGAAGGACGTGGTGATAAGGGGTGTGGCAAGTACAGGGTGTGAGGAGGGGAGAAAGTATAGAAGGCTCCCCGGAGAAGGTGTCCCTGGGAAAGCAGGACAGAGCCCGTCTCCGATGTCCCTTGCACTTGCGGCAAGGGTTCGAGGCCACACTTTAGTCCTTGTTGACGCAGAAACTCCAGTGAGTGGCTTAGCCATCCCCATCCCCGGGTCCTCCTTCGTCCATCCAAAGGGCCCCCCAGCACCTGCTTATGCATTCGAATGCAAATGCACTTGGTGTGTTCGCAGCAGAGTTGCAGGGGGACAAGGCCTCACCGTCCGCCAGAGCGCGTGGTCGCTGCGCCGGGGCCTGGATGCCGGCCTTTCTCTGGTCTCTAAATCCCCACGTCTCCCAGGGCGAGGGGTCTCTGCCCCCGCCCCCTGCCCCGGGCTCCCCGCCCCGCAGGCAGCAGCCCCCCTCCGTGCCCTTTCCTCCAACCCTCTTGCCTCCTCTTGGCCGCTTCTTATTACAGTGGCCGTATTTGTTTTTCCGTGCGAGGAATGCTAACCAAAAAAACCATTATTTCTAAGAAAATAAACTGTGGGCTGCTTGGCCTTTGAATGCTACTGAAAGGGATGGTGGCCTTCCCCAAAGGCCTTGGACAAAGGGGGCCGGGGCTCGTGTTGCGGGGCAAGGTCAGGGGGTCTGGGAGCATCATCGAGGGGCTCCTCCATGGCCTGCCTTGGACTTCCGGCCTAGGTTAACAGCAACTGCTGGCTTGCTCACCGCCCTCCCCCCAGCCCCCAGGTCTCTGACATGTACCCCTGTCTCGGGGAGCCCCATGCCTTCTGTCTGGGCCTCTGTGTCGGAGGGAACGCAGCTGGGGTGGGTCCGTGGAGGTCTGGGTGGCCGCCCTGTTTCACCGAGGCAGCTCTGTGTGCAGCCTTTGTGTGCCAACTTAAGAGTTCAGGAGGGGTCGGGGGGTCTCTGGGGGCCAGCTCCTGGTTCAGGGCTCTGCTTGCTTCTCTGGTGCCCAAACTTGGCTCAGTCTGTGGGGCAGCTGGGGGTCCTGTGGGGCGTGGGGGGGGTGTGGCCGGTCCCTTGGCAGCGCAGCCTTCCTGGCACAGGATTCGTCCGTTTGTGTCTGTGTCGTTTTCTCCCGCAGGCTGGGGCTTGTGTGCCGGCAAGGTCAGGGGTTCTCGGTGAGGGCCAGAGGTGGCCTTGGCGCTGTGTTGATACCGAAGGCAAGGCGTTGTGGACGTGATTGGATCCTCCACGAGGACCCTGGACCCCTGGGGCCCTGAGCCCTGGGATGGCTCTGGATAACTGCATCAGAGTCAGGAGAGGGGTCTGGACCAAGCCCACCTGTCCGAGTTTCGGCTCTGCCATTTACTTCCTGGTGGATCTGGGCACGTCCTCGAGCTCTCTGAGCCTAGCTTCTGTCTCTGCTCCACGCGTGAAGTTCAGACCTTGCGCCTGGGCTCCGGCAGGGGTAAGCCATTACCCCGTAGGCAGGGCCTGGGCGCAGTTGCCACTGTGGTTATTTATTGCTGTGTGACAGAGACTCTGCGAGGGATCTTGGAGAAAAAGCCAAGCAGCCTGCCATGGACCCCCTCAGCAGGGAAGGTGGCCTTGGGCCCGGCTCAGGGTGGGCACTCTCCCCGCACCGGCAGAGCTCTGGGCGCCCAGCCGCCAGCCCATGGCAGCATCAATCGAGACAGCTTTACGAGCCGTCATTCACGTCTCGCCCCGGCATTTAAAGTGTGCAGCCCTGCGCCTTCTAGTGTACTTAGAGATGCTCATCTTTTCTGTCGGTTTCAGAATCTTCCTTTTTGAAAAAATATTTATTTATATTGAAAGAGTTACAGAGAGAGAGAGAGAGAGAGAGAGAGGTCTTCCATCCACTGATTGACTCCCCAGATGCTGCAACAGCCAAGGCTGACCAGGCCAAAGCCAGGAGCTTCTTCCAAGTCTCCCACATGGGTGACAGGGCCCACACACTTGGGCCATCTTCCACTGCTTTTCCAGGCCATCAGCAGGGAGCTGGATTGGAAGTGGAACAGCCGGGACACAAACAGCGCCAGTATAGGATGCTGGTGTCACAGGCGGTGGCTTTACCTGCTGCGCCACAATGCCAGCCCCTCGAATCTTTTCGATACCCCAAAAGAAACCCGAGTCCTTAGCCCTCATCCGCACACAGGCCTCCGCCCCTGCAGCCCTTGGAGACCAATGGTCTTTGTCCCTTAGGCGGCCCGGCTGGATTCTTCGTCTTGCAGAGGCTAGGCAGGTGACATCTCTGGGGAGTGGGGTCTCCGCTATAAATAGAGATGTTGGTTCCCGGCTCTCAGGCTGTCGCGGTGCCTCCTGCCTCACCTGTCACACTGGCTGTCAGCTGTTCAATGTCACGCAGACTCGCTGAGCACGCTCTGCTAGGTCCTGAGGCTTGCGGAACTGGGCGCAGTTCCTGTCCCCTGCGCTGGCAGCATCCGAGTATCCTAGCTGTGATGGCGTCTGTTCAGGGTGCCGTGGGGCCCAGGTGGGGGAGGGGTTTGTCTGCCAAGAGATGGCCGAAGCGCAGGAGGTCCAGGGGGCTCGGTGTGCGTGGGGGGTAGCTGTTTGTGAAGAGGAAGTGTCCCAGGCAGAAGAGACAACCCAAGCGCCAGTGAGGCCACCTGAAGCCCCCACAGAGACTGGGAGGTGTCGCCAAGGAGCTTGAACCCCGTGGTGGTTGTGGATCACAGAGATGGGGGAGCCATGGTCAGTGTGTGCCGTTAGGAACGAAAAAGTATATGGATTGTGTTGGTTTTGTGTGACCTTTGACCTCTCCTGTAATTAACTGCTGGGCCCACTTCTGGCATTGTCTCGGCAGAAGGGAACCTGATCGATGGATGCCAGGGGTCCTCGGAGAGCCGGTCTCATTACTCAGTCATTACAAACCTAGAGCTTAACCCCGCCGCACCCCGGAGACAGGGCCTAATCCTTCCTGCTAGCAGCCCGAGAAACCGCCTTCCCTGGAGGCGTAATTAGCCAACAACCGGATTAAGATTTATTCATCAATAAGGACCCAACTTCCTAAGCCATACATCTCTCCCAAATGGTTGCCTGACCTGAGCAGCACAGGGCTTTCCCTCAAGGCCCAGACAAAGGAGGGGCCATTCGGGTGCCTCACCGTGGCAGGGGTCTTTGTTAGCGCGCTCGGTCCCCACTGTCAAGGGGGACGCCCGACAAATACCCACCCCGGTGGGAAACACAGACATCTTCAGGACTGGTCCCCACCAGCGGAGCGCCGGGGGCCCTGCCAAAAGCCTTGTGTTGCTAAACATACAACAGGACCGTGCTGACGCTTCAGGCAAATGCCCTGAAAGTTATTAAACAAAGGAGAAGGCACTCCGGCTCCTTGCTGGAGAATCTTCAGAGAAAGAAGGCATCACCGGACAGGCAGGCATCTCACGGGGGCACAGGGGTCGGTTCTGAATAAATGAAACAGTGCTCTCATCCCGGCCGGCGCTGCTGGCCCGCACCCACAGCGCGGGATGCTGGGCACACAGGACAGGCGGGATGGGTGACCTTCCTAAAAACCCCGCAGCGTGCAGCTGCCCAGCCGTGTCCTCCGCCCCGTTAGATGTCGGGAGCTGTCTTCCCTCGGGAATCGAGTTTCTGTTCAAAAAGCAAATCCAGGCCGGGGGAGGAGTGGGGAGGGGGCGTGAGCAAGCCGCAGGAAGCTTCGACTAAAGTGCTCAGAGCTCAGGGTGCAGTCCCAAGTTTTGTCCTGTCCACTTCCTGCCTTCCCGTGAGCCACCCCGACCCTCACCCTTCAACCTCGTGGAGCTGCGCTGCAGGGCTTGGAGATGGAGACGGTGCAGTGTGTGGCCTCTCCCCACCTTGTTCCTTAGTGGCGTTTCGGACCGTGGAGCACTCCGGGAAAAGTGTTCATTTCCCGTCCCCGGAGGAAGTGGCTCCACCAGCAGCCTGGAGCTGGCGCGAGTGGTGCCCCTGGCTGGGGGCACCGCACTCGCACCTGCTGCCTCCGTGGCTGCGTCATGCCGGTCTCTGCTTCTGTCACCACGTGGCTGTCACCCCCCTGTGTGTCTGTGTGTCCTCACGTGCTGTCCCCGCCAGTTCCCCTCTCCTTAAAAGGACACTGGCTGTTGAATCAGGAGCCATCGTCATCCAGCACGGGCGGGATTACATCTGCGAAGACCGTATCTGCCAATCAGGTCACAGGCGCGGGTACCGTGGCTTAGGGTTCAGTGTCATCGTTCTGAGAGACACAAACCCATGCCAGTCCTTGAGGAATAAACTCTCGGCGGGCTCTGCTGTCCCCCCTGCTCCTCTGCCCTCTCTGCCCCCACCTGCCTGTCCTCGTCCTCTGGCTGTAACGCTCCTTAAGTAACTGGTGCCCAGAGGGAAACCTGGGGGCCTGCGGAGCTTCCTGCCGTGGTGTTGGCTCCTGGATGTGATTCTTTTTTTTTTTTTTAATATGTATTTATTTATTTATTTATTTGAAAGTCAGAGTTACACAGAGAGAGGAGAGGCAGAGAGAGAGAGAGGTCTTCGGTTTTCCATCTGATGGTTCACTCCCCAATTGGCTGCAACGGCTAGAGCTGTGCCAATCCGAAGCCAGGAGCCAGAAGCATCTTCCGGGTCTCCCACGTGGGTGCAGGGGCCCAAGGACTTGGGCCATCTCTTATTGCTTTCCCAGGCCACAGCAGAGAGCTGGATCAGAAGAGGAGCAGCCGGGACTCGAACTGGCGCCCATATGGGATGCCGGCACTTCAGGCCAGGGTGTTAACCCGCTGTACCACAGCACCAGCCCCCTGGACGTGATTTCTACAATCATAAACCCACTTGCTTAGGGAGAGATCTGTTTGCTTTGCTTTGCGTGTTTATCTCTTTGGGTCTTATAGGAGAAGGCACACATGATTTCAGAAAGCAAGAGTTCAAGGCACACACCGGGAAGGCCGGGACGAGTCTGGGTCAGGAGCAGAGGCCTCCATTGAGGGCCCTGGGGAGGTAAAGCTGACTGCCACGGAAGCCGGGGCTTCTAGACAAGTCCAGGTCTAGGGGAGACTCTGCAGGAGATGGAGTGAAAGACAGAAGTCAGCAGCAAGCACTCTGTTCTCCAGCCACCGCGTCTACCGTGCCCCCACCCCAAGGGGAGTCAAGGAGGGAGAAGGCTGGAGTGGCGTCGTTGTCCTTAGCAGTCTCTGTACATGACCTTTAAGGTGAGCACATTTGTCATTCTGCCCAGTGAAAAGCTTGCTCCCCCAGGCAAGCCGAGGCCTGGGACTGCTCTAATCAGAGGCCCAAACACAGCCTGCTTAGCAGAGCGAAGGCTTCCCAGACCTCACGGCCACTAACGCAGCCGGCTCGCCTGCGTCGTGTGGACGCAGTGCCTCTGATTGGGCTCTTTGTTTTTGTTTAGCTTTGGCTTTTAGGACGCGCAGGGCCACGTTTGTGACCCATCATTTATAACTGTGCCGAACGACAAAGATGCATTTCTGCGTTTTGTCACTCTGTCACCTCCTTTCTTGCTCTTCACCTTGTTCTTTTTGCACGTTACTCTGTGCACTTTGTAAGCTGTCTGGATAGGTGATATCTGAAGGGAAGCGTGAGAGCGTGAATACAGGCTTGGCTGTGTGGGTAAGTGAACATCTGGGGAATGGCTGAGTGGGTAGGGGTGTGTGCGCGCGTGTGTGTGTGAGAGAGAGACCAGCTATCCCATGTGTGTGTGTGAGAGACCAGCTATCCCGTGTGTGTGCGTGTGTGTGTGAGAGAGAAACCAGCTATCCTGTGTGTGTGTGTGAGAGAGAGACCAGCTATCCCGTGTGTGTGAGAGAGACCAGCTACCCCGTGTGTGTGTGTGTGAGAGAGACCAGCTATCCCGTGTGTGTGCGTGTGTGTGTGAGAGAAACCAGCTATCCTGTGTGTGTGTGTGAGAGAGACCAGCTATCCCGTGTGTGCGTGTGTGTGCGTGTGTGTGTGAGAGAGAGACCAGCTATCCCATGTGTGTGTGTATGAGAGAGAGACCAGCTATCCCGTGTGTGTGTGTGCGTGTGTGAGAGAGACCAGCTATCCCGTGTGTGTGTGAGACCAGCTATCCTGTGTGTATGTGTGCGTGTGTGCGTGGGAGAGAGACCAGCTATCCCGTGTGTGTGCGTGTGTGTGTGCGTGTGTGAGAGAGACCAGCTATCCCGTGTGTGTGTGAGACCAGCTATCCTGTGTGTATGTGTGCGTGTGTGCGTGGGAGAGAGACCAGCTATCCCGTGTGTGTGCGTGTGTGTGTGCGTGTGTGAGAGAGACCAGCTATCCTGTGTGTGTGTGTGAGAGAGAGACCAGCTATCCTGTGTGTATGTGTGCGTGTGCGTGGGAGAGAGACCAGCTATCCCATGTGTGTGTGTGCGTGCGTGTGTATGTGCGTGTGTGTGTGTGTGTGAGAGAGACAGAAAGCTGGGGTTTGGGTCCGTGGATCTGTGGAGGGGGAGGGGGGAGGTTGTACGCTCAGAGGAGTGGGAGCATGGCATCTGGCTGGGTATTGGGTGGATGGCGGCGTGGACGCGCACTGGATAGCTGGGTGGATCTCCGCTCAGGTGAGTGGATGGGTGGATGGTGACTGGGTGACTGGAAGGGTGTCAGCTGTCCGGCTATTCAGATGAAGATGGCAGCACAAGTAGATAAATGGAAAGATGGTTGGGGGGCACTTGAATGGATAGGTCACGGGCTGAGTGGGTGCTGGGCAGGAGTTTGGGTGAACGGATGCAGGGATGACTGGCGTGTGTGTGTGAAAGTGGACGGATACGGAACTAGTGGAAGGACAGACGGGTGAACAGGAACTTGGATTGGCTAAGACTGCCCTGTGCCGAAGGTGAACTAACATCCCGGAGCACTTTACCGATGACGGGCAGGTCGTGGGCTCTAACCTATTGGGCAGGATGTGGGTTTTGAGGAGGGCAAGACCTTTATTCTGATCCTTGCCCTACACTTAACGATGTGACCTGCACCAATTACCCAGACTCCCTGCACTTTGCTTCACTCAACCATAAAATGGAGTTAACGTGAGCTCTCCAGAGAGCTGCTGTGAGAATTAAAAAGGCGGATATAGGTTTCAGAATAGATATGTGCATTTTTTCTTCTGAGGTACAATATGAAAAGGAGAAAAAAATTTTTTTTATCCAAGCATGGAACAAGATCTTTCCCTTTAGTCTGCCTGCGCCAGCCTAAGTAGCATGTCTGCTGGGACCAACAGCCTTGCTAGTGGCACGTGACGGATTGGGCTTCCCCCCAGGGTTGGGACCAGGCCGCCTGCCGAGTCACCCGCTGAAGGAGGGCTGTTTGGGAGCTGCTCCGTCAGATCCCACGAGAGGCCACACTAGGGCTGTCGGGTGTGGGAGAACGTGCAGTGCTTTGGTGGCTGACTGGGCGTTGTGGGAGGTGACTCGGTGCTCTGGGATGGGGTACGCAGGGCAGTGCAGGCGGCTGAGTTCAAGTGGTGACGTTGCCTTTGGAGCGTCTGAAGGTCTGGGTGAGGGGAGGTTGGGTGGGGCATCTGGGCTCTGGACAAAGGTCCGAGCTGCAGAGACTGAGAGGTAACCGTGTCCTTGTCTCGTACCAGTGTCTTCCGATGCTCATCAAGTCTAGCACCCTCTGAGAATTTGTTTTTTAAAGATTCATGTATATATTTGAACGAGTATAGAGGTCTTCTGTCGCTCCCCGTCTTCGTGGAGGAACGACACAGGACCCTGCGCTGTTCTTTCGTCTGCTCGGCCCTCCCCGGGTTTGCTGCTGGTTCTTCCCGGGTTGGCTACTATCCCTTCCACCTCCGTGGAAGGGCGGTTCCCCCTGCCACTTTCCCCACTTCCGCGGGGGAGCGGCACACCGCCGGCCGGCTCTCTCGGGGGCTGCACAGGTGTTCCTCTTAGATGTTCCTGGTGCATGTTGTCTCTCTCCTCCTTTATAGTCCTCTTCCACCAATCCCAACTCTGCTGCCCACACGCCGAGTACGCTGCTCTCCTCCAATCAGGAGCAGGTCCTGCTGTTTATTGGTTGAACTGGAGGCAGCTGTATAGAAGCTGTTTCCTCCCTTCTCAGCGCCATATTGTGGGAGAGCAGATGCATAGAATAAGTCTTAATTCCAGTAACTTAGTATAGTCCGAGTTGCTCCCAGTTGCTCCCCACAGTCTTCCATCTGCTGGTTCACTCCCCAGATGGCCACCACAGCCAGGGCTGGGCCAGGGAGCCAGGGGCTCCTTCCAGGTCTCCCACGCAGGTGCAGGGGCCCGGGCACTTGGGGCACCTTCTGCTTTTCCCAGGCCACAGCAGGGAGCTGGGTCAGAAGTGGGGCAGCCGGGACACGAACCGCACCCGTAGGGGACGCCGGCACTGCAGGTGACCGCTTTACCCGCTACGCCACAACGCCAGCTCCTTTAATTACAATTTCTGTGAGTGTTAACTATCACGCCTAGGAACAACTAAAATGAGTTGCAGTTGGCCCGCTGATGCAGATGGCCACCGGGCAGGTAGGGTGAAGCCCCTGGAGGCCCCGGCCGCCTTGCTCCTCCGTCCTCGTGGCTGGGTGGGTGCACCACGCGCGGATGCCCGGCCCAGACCCTGCAGGCTGGCGCTCCGCTGCTGCTGCTCCCGCCGAGGTCGCCCTCCGCTCTGCGCTGTCTCTGGCAGGCGGGCACCGAGTCACCTCCAGTTCCTCCATCTGGAGTCTCTACCCCGAGATAACGCCTGCCTTCCAGACGCCGCACTAGAGCCCAGGGCTTCCCCCACCGGAGCTCGCTCCCTGCCGTAACTCCTCCGGCAGTCAAGGGGCGGCCAGGCCGCCCTCTCCAGCCCGGCCTCGTCTCCACTTTCAGAACCGGATCCCGGCCTCAGAACGCCCCTTCTCCGGGGTAGGGAAGGAACTGCTCGCTCCCCGCCCGCCAACGCGTCAGACGCACCTGCGGATCCACCTGGCGCTGGGCACTTCCGGGTTTAAGTGGGGCACTTCCGGTTCCGGGTCGGCTGTGGGCACTTCCGGCTGCCCTCGCCTCCTTGTCCTGGAGCCTGTGGCGATTGGGGTGGGTGTGGATTGACGTGGGTTTGGACGAACCCAGGGAGTGTGTCGGGGTGGGGGCACCAACGACTCAGAGCGAGCGCTCCCGGGCTGCGGGGACAGGGCCGCCAGGCCGGCCGCCATCACTGTTCAGAGGTGGGGCCGCCCGAGGGTGGGCTCCGGGGTGCGGCCTCCTCCGGCCGTGTTTTGGGCCCTGCGTCCTCTTCGCGCTCGTGTGAGGTTGTGGAACTGTGACCGTGTGCAGGGGCGAGTCCGTGTGCGGACGGCGACGCGGTCGTGGGGGCAGCGCTGGGCGCGGGAGCCCACGCGGGGGACGTTAGCTGGCCACCGTCCTGGCGTCCTCCCAGGGCCCGCAGGCTTCTCCGGCACTCCAGAACTGATAGCCCGGCTGACCCCTGATGGGAAATGTTGAAAAAGCCTCAAAACAGCACAAAGGGTGACCTTTCCGGAGGCATTGGCCATTGTTGGTGAGACAGAAGCCCTTGTCAGCACGAGGAAGCTGGGACGGCGGGATGCCAGCGTCAGCCGCTGCTGCATGTTTGGGGAGTTCCTGGCTGTTCTCCGTTCCAGGGGTCGCAGTGTTTCACAAGAGAGCCGGTGTCGGGGCTGGCAGACGGGGCCCTAGAGAGCCGGTGTCGGGTCTGGCGGACGGGGCCCTAGAGAGCCGGTGTCGGGGGCTGGCGGACGGGGCCCTAGAGAGCCGGTGTCGGGGGCTGGCGGACGGGGCCCTAGAGAGCCGGTGTCGGGGCTGGCGGACGGGGCCCTAGAGAGCCGGTGTCGGGGGCTGGCGGACGGGGCCCTAGAGAGCCGGTGTCGGGGGCTGGCGGACGGGGCCCTAGAGAGCCGGTGTCGGGGCTGGCGGACGGGGCCCTAGAGAGCCGGTGTCGGGGCTGGCGGACGGGGCCCTAGAGAGCCGGTGTCGGGTCTGGCAGACGGGGCCCTAGAGAGCCGGTGTCGGGGCTGGCGGACGGGGCCCTAGAGAGCCGGTGTCGGGGCTGGCGGACGGGGCCCTAGAGAGCCGGTGTCGGGTCTGGCGGACGGGGCCCTAGAGAGCCGGTGTCGGGGCTGGCGGACGGGGCCCTAGAGAGCCGGTGTCGGGTCTGGCGGACGGGGCCCTAGAGAGCCGGTGTCGGGGCTGGCAGACGGGACCCTCCGTTACGCCTGTTAGTGCTGAGTGGGTTCCGGGGAGGCAGAGGCGGCTGCGAATCCTGCCCGCTTGGCCGTGGTAGGAGACGAGGGGCACCCACACAGGCCCAGCGTGCGGCCCTGCTCTTCGGGGTGGTGGCCAAGGCCACCCGACCCAGGTCAGGTCCCCAGCCCCCAGCAGGCTTGAACCTGTTGCTTTGTCCCCAATCCCTCATATCCTGCCGGTGTCGCGGTGGGGGAGAGGGGACCCCGACCCCGCGCTCTCCCTGACCCCTCTGTGTGCTCATCCTGCCGGGATCAGGGTGGGGGAGAGGGGACCCTGCGCTCTCCCTGACCCCTCTGTGCGCTCATCCTGCTGGTGTCAGAGTTGGGGAGAGGGGACCCCGCGCTCTCCCTGACCCCTCTCATGCGCTCATCCTGCCGGGATCAGGGTTGGGGAGAGGGGACCCCGCGCTCTCCCTGACCCCTCTCATGCACTCATCCTGCCGGGATCAGGGTGGGGGAGAGGGGACCCCGCTCTCTCCCTGACCCCTCTCGTGCCCTTCATCTTGCAGACATTGACGAGTGTGAGAATGACTACTACAACGGCGGCTGCGTCCACGAGTGTATCAACATCCCAGGCAACTACAGGTGCACCTGCTTCGACGGCTTCATGCTGGCGCACGACGGACACAACTGCCTGGGTGAGTGCCACAGCCGTGTCCTGCTCCGGGCACGCCCTGCCTGTCTCTCCGCTCTGGCTCCGGAGCTGGGGGCTGCGGGAAGGCTGGCCCTCCTTCGGTTGCCTGCACTGGTTTGCTAGGGGGTCTCGTAACAACAGAAATTGTGTTTCCTCGTGGCTCCGGAGGCCCAGAGTGAGACCAAGTTGTCAACAGGCTCGGTTTCTTCCAAGGCCCCTCTCATTGGCCAGTAGCTGACCGCCACCTTGCTGTCTGCGTGTGGGATTTCATTTCTGTGTGCTCCTTGTAACGACACCTGCCCAACTCCACCCTGACAACTCCAGGTTTAATTTCATTACCCTTGGCGGGTCCTGTCTCCAAATACAGTCACATTTAAGGTGTCGGGGTTGAGTTCCTTCAACATAGGAAACTTGACGCCATTCAGTGCATTATCATTTATAGCTTTCTTTGCCCACAGGTCAGGTACATTTTAAACCAGTTGTGTAAGAGGAGTCCACTTTTGCTGGGTACATAGAAGAAGGTAGGGGAGTGGAAAGACAAAATGGAAGACATCTTAGTTATCTGGTAGGTTTCCTTCCCGTCTCCTCTGTGTGCAGCCGTGGTTCTGCCGAGGTGATCAGACAGTCGGCATGGTTTTGTCTCACTTTTTGCTTGGCCAGCATGTGTACCTCAGACACTTTTACATGGCCCCACCACCACTGCTGGCCCCACAGTCTAAGTTACAGTCACCGTGTCAGTCTCCAGGGATGCACACCAAGTCACGTGCTGGGCAGCTTGGACGACACGCATGGATCCCTCACACTTGCCAGCAGGGCCCGTTCCTCCTGAGGCCTGGGAGGGAGAGTCTGTGCCAGACTCCGCTGCCGGCTCCTGGTGCCCTCAGGCATTTCCTTGGCCCATGGATGGCGTCCCCCATGCCTGCCCACTGTGTTAGCACTGTGTGTGTCTCTCTGTGTCCAGTTTCCCTTTTTGATCAGGGCAGTGGTTGTACTAGATTAGGGTTCACCCTAACAACCTCATCTCAACCCGATTGTCTACCAGGACCCTGTTTCCAGACGAGGTCACAGTCACAAACATTGGGAAGCATAGCAACAGCTGTCGACCCAAAACAGCTTGTTTGCCGTCTGGACGGGGAGGAGCCTGTGGCTCTCAGAGCAGAACCGCCTGTCCCACTGGCCTCTACCACCAGCTGCTGGGTGCTCAGGGGCATGGCAGCTGGAGCCTCGGGCATGGGGACGTGGCCTTGGCAAGATGTGTCAGCGACTTGTCTGGGCCCAGGCCCTTCTTGGTAGGCCAAGGCGGTGAGGAGCAGTGACCAAGGACACCCAGACCTCTGAGACGTGGGCCCGGTGTAGGGAGCGCCAACTGCTTGTAGCTCTTGCTGCCATGTTGGTCGCTGAGCCTTGTCTTCTGTGCCCTAAGGTAAGGGCCATGTGCCGCCCGCCCACCGGGTGGTGTGTGAGGGTGAGTGACAGTGTGGAGTGAAGAGTGGCCCCTAGCATAGCTCAGCAAGCAGGGGTTACCTTTGTAGGGGATTCTGCTGTTTTGTGACTGGACATTTATTTATTTTTTAAAAGGTTGATTGATTGATTTGAAAGTCAGAGTTACAGAGAGAAAGGAAGAGGCAGAGGTACCTTCCATCGGCTGGTTCACTCCCCAGATGGCCGAGGCCAGGAGCCAGGAGCTTCATTCAGGCCTCCTGCATGGATGGCAGGGGCTGAAGCACTTGGGCCGTCTTCCTCTGCTTTTCCCAGGCCGTTAGCAGGGAGCTGGATGAGAAGTGGAGCAGCCCCATCTGGGGTGCCGGCGTCACAGGCAGCGGTTTTACCCACAGTGCCGCAGCACCGGCCCCGTGATGGGACATGTGGATTGTTTCCTTTTTGTTTGTTTGTTCCTGCTGTCAGAATCCAGAGGCAATTCTGGGCATAAACTTTTTTTTCCCAGTTGTATCCTTAGGAATGCTTCCCCAAAGTGGAACTCCTGGGTCAAAGGGCCCCCTGAATTTTTTGTGGCTCTCTATGTAGGGCTTCCTAAGAGGGCTCTGCAGACCCTCTGCCGGCCTGCGTGTTGGTGCGCGGCACAGGCAGCTCGGCTTCCTGTGTGCCCTGGACCTCTGCCTCTCAGTGCGCTTGCTGCCTGGTTCTGTTTAATGCATGTTGAATCACAGATGAGTTTGTTATGTGGAACAGATCTGTGAACATGTAATTACACCCAAAATAAGTGCCAAAATGGAGGTCTGGAGAGCAGGTTACCGAAGCCCAGAGGGGCCTGTGGAAAGCCGCCCTGGATGGGTGAGGGTAGGGGTTGAAGAGGGGCCTTGGACAGAGGGTAGCAGTCTCCAGAGGCCGGGGAGAAGGTCGCCGGTCAAGGGCACGGCCCTGCAGAGAGCGGCAGGCAGCGTTCCAGGCTGGACTCGGACCGCGTGGCGGGGCTGCCGGGAGAGGGGCTGCAGAGTTAGGTGGAGCCTTTGAAGTCTATGCAGGACATGCGTCGTGCCAGATGCGAGGTTAAATGTTATCCAAGTGTTATCTCATTCAACCCTCCCGAAACAGAGCTTCGCTTTCCCAGTTGTTTGCCCGCTTTTCCGATGAAGAGAGAAGCCGTTTCAGTAACTGGTCAGTGAAGGCAGAGCTGTCACCCAGCTGCTCAGGAGGACAGACCCCGGGACTCCCAGCTCTCAGCTGTGTGACCTCTGGCGAGTCACTGCACCCTCGTCACCTGTGCACTGGGCCGCACGGCCCCGGTGCTGTGGACTTGCTGTGTGGACTTGGGGAGATCACGGGCGTGGAGACGCAGCGGAGTGGCTGTCCTGAGTGCACTAGCACATCAGGGCTGATCTGGTCATCAACTTGCAGGCGCCCTGTGTTGACACCTGCAACCTGCACCTCTTGAGGCCTCGCGGGGGCCAGGGCCCTTGCTGCCTGCACTCCCTGGGGCTCCCTGTCCCCTGTAGCACCTGTGCCTGTGCAGAACCACCTGCGTCCCAGCACGCTTGTTCTTGCCCATGGCAGGCACACCCTGTGCCACCAGGCTTCAGACAAGCGGTGAAGGCTGAGCGGGCCTCTGTTCCACAGGTCTTCCTCACACCGGACCCCCTGCACACACGGCGGGCGGCCGAGGAGTTGCCCCTCGCTCGCTCCGCTGCGGGAGCTGGGGCAGGCTCTTCCTGGCAGACTGCTTTGGTTTGGTCTTTTTCCTTCTCAAGACAAAACCCCAGCTCTAGTGAAGACGGAGCTTGGTTCGGGCACAGACTGACTGTGTGACCTTGGGCTCAGTCGGTGACCTCTTGGAGCCCAGCTCCCTCCTCTGGGGAGCACTCTGAGGATCCGAGGCCCTGGTGTAGGCTCAGGATCATGGGGCTTGGTCAGCGCTGGCCGAAATGGACCATGCTGTAAGAGTGAGCTGGGTGCAGTTTAACAGCGTACACTCAAACTGGGGCGCTACCAGGCGGGAGTTACAGTGTGAGACCAGGCCTTCAAACACGGCCAGCTTTAGCTCCTCTGACTGAGATGGAGGGTCAAAGTGGCAGTGAACGCCAAAGGAGATACGTCGAGCCGTGCAGACGGCGGGAAGACCGCACAGGTCAGACGCAGCCACGTTGGCACAGCCAGGTTCTCGAGCTGCCTGCCCACGGTCCTCTTCTGCCCTCAGGCACGTCGTGTTTACCCCTCGGTGCCGTGACTTGTTGTTATGGAATTGTTTGCCAATACTTTACAACCAGGGGATAGCACGTAAAAATGGATACTTGCAGCCTGGCCTCTGTGGCACTTGGGCAGGCGTGCAGGTGGAGGCCTGCTCGGCTGTGTGCCCGGGAGTAATTTTGAAGCCCCAGGCTAGAATGTGCCCTCTCTCTCGACCGTGGCAGAGGTTCCCTCCTAACCACCTGGAAGGCTAGATTGGAGTTCAGAATTCTAGGGCTCCTTGGAGTTTTGTCTCCAAAAGTGGTGTCACGGGTGGTCCCGGCTCTGTCCCCAGGCCCCGTCCCGTACTGTAAGGAGCCTCGGGGCACACTGACCTGGAGGGCTGAGCTCTGCCCATGACTGCCTGTCAGTGCTCGGACTCGGTGTCGGCCGTCCCTCTGAGAACTGACAGGCTTGGGCTCTGTGGACTCCTTACTGCACTGGGAGGGCTGCAGCCACCGGGGAGGCAAAGCGGGGGCCCCTCCAGGGGCATGTGCACCTCGTGGCGCATCTCAGTGGCACTGGCAGCAGGTAGAGTGGGCAGCTGGAGGAGGAGGCAGATACTCTCCCGCTCGCTACAGCCCCCACCTCTCCCCAGTGCTCACAGCCCTTTGACTTTGGACGTTTAACTATGTGCTTGGAATCATGTTCATGCCACCCGACAAGGCTTCCAGCACAGGGCCTGCTAGTCTCCCTCCCTGGCCACCCTGGTCAGTCACAGAGCCTCACCCCACGGCGTACCACCCACCAGGACCATGAGGCCGTTTGCACCCCCTGTCATTTGGTCTCCAGAAGCCTGGGTCAGGCGTCTTGTCCAGTTGTGGCATTGCCCTCCGAACCACGGCTGGGTTGCTTCGGATGGAGGCCGGTGAGACCCCAGCCCCCAAGAAACGGAGCACAGTGTGAGAGCATGGCGCTGCCAAGGGGCTGCGCGGCCGCCGGCTCCGGGGTGTTTTCCTGCCTGCGTTTCCTTTTCTTTCGAGCGAACGAGGTTATTTGCTTGCAGAGACGGCCCGCCTGTGACTGTCCTGGAGGGTGTCCAAATCTGTCCTTCGGAGAGCAGAGCCTTCTCTCTGTTTGACATCTTTATTGAGGAATTTCTCAAATATAACAGAAAATGACACCAGAGGGAATTGGAACCGAGATGAGGTCTTGCTCAACCCCAAATGGCTGCTTTTAGCGGTGTAATTACTTGAAATAGCAGTAGTTCTGTTTGAAAAATATTATCCCAAACGCCATGCACTCGGACGGCAGGCGATATTTAGGCTAATAGAATAAGGTTTTTTTTCAATCTTAAATGAGAACCAGCAGTGGGTAGTTTTT